ATTATTCTTAAAGAAGCTGGTTTGATTAGTAATAGGAGAGTGAAAAGTAGTGTGTCATTTAGATAATTTCTGATTTGAAAAATATGATTAATAATAACCCTGAAGGTCAGAAAGTCCAAAGTTCTAATTCAGATCTTCGTAGTCATTCTCCCACTAGCTTGAAAATAATTTAGCTTCCGTGCCTTAGTTTATATCCTTATACAATGGGAACTGTATCTACGTGGTGATCACATGAGGGACCATGAAATAAGTAATCTAATATGAAGATACTTGCTGTGTTAAATAGAAAAGAAGTACTTTATATGAATTGTTTCCGTTAATTCTCATATCAACCCTGCAAGATAATTACTGTTATTATCCCCAATTTACAGGTGAGAAAACTGGGCATAAGGTATTAGAGTAATTTCCCCAGGGTCCTTTAGACAGTGGGGACCCAGGATTCCCTGGCAGGCTGATCCAGTGGGTTCTCGTCTCCACTGGTGACCAGTGCTGCTTCCTGGTGCTTTAGTCACCCCAGCTCCTCATCTCTGAGCAGAAGTTTGGGTCAAGATTAGAAATGGAAGGACCTGAGGGAAGAAACCATCTGTGATTATTTTGGTTTGTTTTCCCTGTTACAGTAGGTAGCATTTGAATAGTAATAGTTTCATATATTGTTTATGAAAAGGTAATCAAGAATTTTACTTAAAGCAGTAGTTCTTATCCAGAGAGTAATTCAAAATTTTTTAGGGGGGTTTTTTCTAAATACATATGCTTCAGTACTACCACTGTCCGGTCTCCTGGGGCAAAATGCGTATTTTCACTAACCGCCTGGGTGATTCTGATGTGTGCCCTTGGTTAAGAACCATTGGTTCAAAAGAAAAAGAAAACAAACCAAAAGCGAAAAAAAAAAAGGCAAGCATTCTAAGTTTTAGTTCATTTAAAAATTCTCCTCCCATTGATAGTCCTTTCAATTTAGTTTTATTTTCTGTTTGATAACTTTCTCGTATAGCAAAGTATTCAGATTTTCTTCATAGTTCCTCTTACAGATTGTTACGTTAAAAGTGAGGATCAGCCGTGTTCTGATGACTTAGTGTGTGTCTTATTTTGAAATGGGCAATATGTTTGTTAAAACAACCAGTAGCCCACAGAGAGAGATGGGAGAGCGTCATTTTTTAAACTCAGAAAAGAAAGATTTTGAAGAGATGTATTGTGAGCAAGTGTCAGTAAGTACAATGATGTAATGAGTTATCTTTTAAGTTATGAGAGTGCGTACCCATGAGGGCCTTTGAGAAATTTAGCCCAGAAATACTCTGGCTAAATCAGAGAAGCTGTTTTGGCATTATTTGGCTTCATTTAGAAAGTCTTAGAAGAATAGAGGCTTAAGAATAAGACTATTCAAGTCTTCTCTTAAACATGTTTTCTTCTGTTAAATATCCTCTCCCAAAGTCCTCACTGAATTTTTGTTGATATAGTTTTTAGCCCGGCTTAATGAAGGACTGACTGTCTAGTACCTCTGTTCTGTTCTTGAAGTAGCAAACACAGAATCACAGTAGTGAGTATAGCATTAAGTTAGGTGAGTTAATTTTCATTATCAACCATTAGCTCATCCCAATCAGGAAAACGATGCTAAAGAAGCCAAGTCAGTATGCATTAGTATGAAAGAAGCCCAGATTTCTCTCCCATTTGAGAATTAGATGCTCAGAAGAATGATGCTTTTAGCAGGAGCTAATCTGGAGGAATCCCACCTGCAAAAATTCCAAGCAACTTAATGAGAAAAGAACATTGTAGAAAGGGGCATGCATAAGCTCAAAGGCCCAGCTCCTTGCAATTCCCGGTGAGACTGTTGCCATCTGAGTTTTTATCAGCAGCGATCACCTACAGTATAATTCACTTACTCGAATGCAGAGGAAGAAAAAAGCTACCTATGAAAGACCTGATTTAATAGAATCGAGATGGACAGATAAAAGTGCTAGATTTCGAGAAACCTTCACTGTGGAAATCAGCCATGAAATATATATTTTTTCCTCCCGGTAACTGTGTTGAATAAAAAGAGAAAGAAGGAATGAAAGATTACTAGGGAAATGTTTTACCTTTGTTGGGAAGGCTTAGAACTCCAAAATTTCTTATTTTGCAGCGCAGTTACATTTTATGATGATTTTTGGCGAACATGGTTTAAAATGAAGGAGTAAAACAGAAAAGATAATTTATGTCTTTCCTTTCATCTTGATTTTTTTGTTGTTATTTTCTAGGAAATCATTGTGAAAATTATAACCAAAAAACTTGGAGAGAAATATCATAAGAAAAAGGGTATTGTTAAGGTAAGGACATGAAGCTATGAATGGAATTTGTGGAAAAGGCTGGGGGGCGTGAGTAAGGCCATTTTGGTATTCCTTAAAAATCAAGTTCTAGTAGCAGAAGCAATGTGTCTTGGGTTTTTGATGGCTCCATAAAAAGGAGACCTGAATTCATAGTTGTTGGAGAAATGTTTCATTTCCAACCATTGTTTATACTTCACCTTAGTCTGCTTTCTTGCTGGAGCAAATAGTACGTACAAAATCCCACTGGCACCTCTTAAACTCAGTGTGCACGCCTTGATGATCAAGATGCATTCTCTTTGTTAATGAAGAGCAGTATGGTTATGTCCCCTGAGTTCCAGGGAGGGCTTCCTGTGTTTTACCTGAGAGACTGTCTTTTGGCTTCTCTGGGATTTTAAAATTTAAAAATCAACACTCCAGTCCTTTTCTCCGTTTTGCCTTTCCTAAATATAGTTTCATTCCAGCACCCAGCCTGTGCATGTATAAATTGCCCTTCTAGTGCACTTGCAGCTAGACAAAATTACCCTTCTCACTATATTTCTTTTTTTTTTCGTGAGGAAGATCAGCCCGGAGCTAACATCTGCCAATCCTCCTCTTTTTGCTGAGGAAGACTGGCCCTGGGCTAACATCTGTGCCCATCTTCCTCCACTTTATATGGGATGCCGCCACAGCGTGGCTTGCCAAGCGGTCCATCGGTACACGCCCGGGATCCGAACTGGCGAACCCTGGGCCGCCGCAGCGGAGCGCACGCGCTTAACTGCTTGCGCCGTTGGGCCGGCCCCCTCACTATATTTCTTAAAGTCTTATTCTAAGATCACCAGTCTTGTATTCTTTCCAGATGAAAACCTTAACTAAGCTTTAAACTGAGTTCTTTATTAAGAACCATAGACTGAGAAATCGTATATGGAATCTAGAAAATAGTGTCATTTATAGGAGGAGTTATTCTTATCTTTGGTTGGAATTTCATTTTCGTTTTATTTATTTCTTTCCTTTGAGATTTGTGTTCACTTATTTCTTCTATCATAAAAGTGTTGCTTTTCTACCACAGGAAGTAATTGACAAATACACAGCTGTTGTGAAGATGATTGACTCCGGAGACAAGCTGAAACTGGACCAGACTCATTTAGAAACAGTAATTCCGGCACCAGGTGAATCTTTCTGCTGCCCATTTAAAGTATATGCTATCGAAATGAATGATTCCATTCTTAAAACCATAGTTTTTTGATATCATTTGATAGTGATGAAGACAAGTTGTCGTTTTTAGAAATAAACAACTACCAATATAATTGATCCCTCTTTGACCTCAGGTGATGTGGTAGTTTCTCATTCCTCCGAGAAAGCTATTTTTTTTTATGAATAAATTTTCCCTTCCCAGAATCCTTTGTTTTCTTTTCTAAAGCAAAACAGAGATATATCTGGAAAAAAAATCACATTAGGCTTATTATTAATATATTTGTTTAGCTACCTGAGATAGTCAAGTAAAAGTCTGTGTTATTTTGCTTTTTCTTTTCCTTAAATGTGTTGATCATTTGGGTACTTACACAATCTAGAATAAATGTACTTTGGTTAGGTTGTTTGCCTCTGACCTAAACTCTTCATGGTGCAATCATTGCTGGCGCAGTGATAATGTTAGTTTCTAAAACTTCCACTTATCAGATCCTTTGTTCTTGCCCCCTAAAATCAAACTCATTTTATGGATTAAAAAAAAGTTTTTTTCAGCTTTGGTGAGATGTAATTGACATACAATTAACTGTACTTGTGTAAAGTATACAATTTGATAAGTTTTAACACATTAATACTCCTGTGAAGCCATCCCTACAATCAAGATAATGAATGTGTCCATCACCCCCCAAAGTTTCCTCATTTCTGTTTATAATCCTTCTCTGCCCGCCCTCCGCTCCTGCCTCCCATGTGCCCCCAGGCAATCACCTATCTGCTTTCCGTCACTGTGGATTAGTTTGTATTTTTCTAGAATTTTATATGAATACAGTCATACCATGTGTCCTGTTTTTTTGTCTGACTTCTTTCACTAAGCACAGTTATTTGGGATCGTCCATGTTGTTGGTGTATCTGCAGTTCACTCCTCTCTGTTGCTGAGCTGTGTTTCATTGTGTGGGTACACCACTGTTTATCCGATCACCTGCTAATGGACATTTAGGTTGTTTACAGTTTTGGCTGTTACTAATAAAACTTCTATGAACCTTCAGGTACAAGTCTTTGTGTGCACATATGATTTCTTTTCTATTGGGAAAATCCTTAGAAATAGAATGGCTCAGTCATATGGTAGGCATATGTTCAAATTTTTATGAAACTGCCAGACTCATCTTATGATTTTAAAAAGAGACAAATTCAAGTAAGCTAAATTTTTTCTGATTCCTTCTGGACTCTGAGCATTTCATCCAAGTACCTCCCTGCAATCTAAAATTGAAATGTATCTCTTTGACAAATAAGTGAAAAAAATGAGGTCTTATAATGTTACAGTAATCAAACTGTCTACAAACTGTACATTAGAATATTAGAGTTCTTAAATGATTAAGAACTTCTAAGAGAAAGGTTTGTTTCTCATTATGTTCAGTCAGTGTAATTGCATTTTGCTGTAACAAAGTGGAAGAAAAAAGTGGACATTTCCTTTGCATTCAGTGTTATATTCTTTTCTATTGTAGGAAAAAGAATTCTTGTTTTAAATGGAGGCTACAGAGGAAATGAAGGTACCTTAGAATCCATCAATGAGAAGACGTTTTCAGCTACTATAGTCATCGAAACTGTACGTATGTTTATACAAAGACAGAAATTTCAAAATGCTTTAAAAATGTGCCATATTCTTTTTCACTGGATTGGTCTTTGTTTTATTTAGAGTTTGAGTTTTCTGTTTGCCTTCTCTTCTATTTGAAAATCTGAAAGCTTTTTTTCTCTAATGACCCTGCCATTGCTAAAGCATTTTATTTTCGGATTATAAAAGAAATGCATATATGTCTTAGTCCATTCCAGCTGCTATAGCAAAATACTGTAGACTGGGTGGCTTATAAATGACAGAAATCTGTTTCTCAGAGCTCTGGAGGCTGGAAGTCCAAGATCAAGGCACTGGCAGATTGAGGGTCTGGTGAGAGCCTGTTTCCTGGTTCATGTGTCTTCATATGGTGGAATGGACAAGGGAGCTCTCTTGGGTCCCTTTGTAAGGGCGCTAATTCATTCATAAGGGCTCCATTCTCATAACCTAATCACCTCCCAAAGGCCCCACCTCCTAACACCATCACATTGGGCATTACGTTGCAGCATAAGAATTTTGGGTGCAACACATTCAGTCTATAGCAATGCTCGTTGTATAAAACCTGAAAAGTACAGTGTAATATAAATAATTTTAAAAATTACCCATAATCCCCCAGTCAAAGGATAACCCCCATTAATATGTTGGTGTGTTCCTTTCTAGTCTTTGTATTTTATAAAATTGTATACTTTATGGACAGTTTTGTATCCTGACTTTTTTCCTCTCACATCTAATATAAAACTCAATTTGGCACAGTATAGTTCATGGGGAACGTCTAGTCATAATTAATGGGGAAAAAGCCACAGAGGTCAATTTTTTAAAATGTCCTCCCTTTCATAAAGGATTTAAGGTAGCAGAGATCAATAAAGTAATTAATTTAAGGAAATCTGACGTACAAGTAAAATTGTTTATTGATTTAAAACTGATACTTCACTGACAGGTCTCTGAGTGAGGTCAAGTGAGACCTAAGTTGTCTTCAGAAGAGAAGATCCAAAACGTGCCTTTTCCTTACTGCCAGATTCTTTCTAGAACTCTGAACTACTGCACTATGTGTGTTTATCTCTAAGTGAAATACTTTTTTCCATCTCCAGTACAGTAAGTTTTAGTATTTAGCAGCATAATAGACCCTTGGAGAGTCTGAAGAAAGTTCTGAGCCCTCTCCAAAAAATTGCATGTAACTGCCAAATTTTATGTGTTGTCTTAAGGAGTTGTTAGGCCCCCTAAACACGTCTGTGGACTGGCTAGGGAATATGTGTCTCAGAAAGGTTTTCTGGAAAAACCGTTTAGGTCCTTATCTGAGATAAATCACATTTAAGTAAATTAAGTAAAAAAAGCTTTTCTTTTTCTTTTTATTCTGTTTCTGGCAATACTAACCTAGAAACTGTCACTAACATAAACTACGGGAAAAAACAGGAAAAGAGAATCTCACCTGTCCTTGAGGAATTTATCAATCTGACAAAGTTAACAGATTGAGTTTTTTGAAAACCTCAGTAAATTTTTCTCTCTGGCTCAGTCAGTATAAGGTCATGGAAAATCTCATATTTCTTTGGTGAAATGATCGTCCTTCACTTTTTAATTTCATAATACCATCCCATTTAGATTCTGCTTCATGTTTTCATCTCACAAAACAACTAATTACTATTGAGGATATTCTAGGTTCCATCTAGACACCTTTGCTTTACAGTTTGTATGATTTTCAAGAGCTAGTTTCCTACCCCCTCACTATAAAGGTTTCATCTTCCTTTCTAAGGCTTTCATTGCTCACAGAGCTGTGCTGAGATAGAACCTACGAGGAAATCCACATGAAAAGCCTGTCTGGTTGATTGCAAAGTAGCCTGTACTCTTAGAAGAGGAAACCCACCTGCTAATTTTTTGGTGTTTTCTTTTGCAGCCTGCCTCCATTAAAAAAAAGAAAAAGAAAAAAATCTTGTGTTTTTATGTGCGTCTGTCTGCTTGTCTCTTATGTCCTGTGTTTTCTCCAAATCACTGCCATGAAACACATGAGCTTTTCAAGTGATTTCTCCTGCCCTTTTTATCATTTCTAGCATCTTAACTTTTAGTGTCAGTATCATAATATTTGAAATTTACGCAGTTATTAAGCATATTTTTTAATAACTAACCAAGCGTTCAAAAACAGCCTTAGCCTTTTAGCTGTTTGACTAATGAACCCAAATATCTGGCTCATTCTTATTCCCCAGCTTTGTGGTTCTTATCATAAAATGTACATGACCATAGACCTTCAAACTGAATCATGAAAGAGTCAACCTGGGTCATGCTTTATCTGGGAACTTATTTCCTTTAAATATAATCATAATTATGTATTAGAAGAATGGCGTTTTTAAAAGCATTTTTAAGGGAAGGTATGATTCTCAGTAAAAAGTGTTAAAATTTCAGTCCAGGATTAGAGTCATCATCATTGTCATTATCATCATCATTACCATTTTATATTTTGCAAGGGAGAGGACCAATGTTCAAATTTTAACAAAAAAATTTAATAATAAGGGTGGAAATTATTAAGCTCATACTCATTATATTCCAAGTATTGTTCTAAGCACTTTATATGTATTAATTCGTTTATATTTCCCAACAACCCAGTAATATAGATACTATTATTATTCCGCACTAGGGGATAATGGGGCCCAGAGGGGTTAAGTCACTTGCTGAAGGTGGGATTTGAACTTGGACAGTCTGGGTCCAGAGCCCATATTCTTAGCCTCTGTGTTCCCAAATTGTATCAGCTTTTATGACAGGCGTTGTCTTTCTTTCATTAATCCAGTTTTCCCCTTTGCCTTTTTGTTGGGTATGAAGGGAAGAAGAAAATATACTTAAAATTGGACTGATATTCTGTGATAAAGACCAGCTTAGGGCTGGCCCCGTGGCTTAGCGGTTGACTGCGCGCACTCTGCTGCTGGCGGCCCGGGTTAGGATCCCGGGCGCGCACCCACGCACCGCTTCTCCAGCCATGCTGAGGCTGCGTCCCACATACAGCAACTAGAAGGATGTGCAGCTATGACATGCAACTATCTACTGGGGCTTTGGGGGTGAAAAAATAAATGAATAAAATCTTTAAAAAAAAAAAAAAGACCAGCCTAACTACCACAGCTAAACAAGACCAACATATTTGAGTATGAGTATCTATATTGCTTAAAATAAAATAATGATAATTGCTGTAACAAAGAAACCGCCAAACTGATGAGGGTACAAACATGACAGAAGTTAACTTCTCGTTGTTCAAGTCCAAAACACGTGTTCTTGACCAGGGAACAGCTCTTTTCTAAGGGGTGACGTGTGAGCCCAGGGTCCCTCCAACCTGTGGCTCCACCATCTTCAACAAGTGGCTTTTACAGCTGCTGTGTCCGTGTGCTCCAGGCAGGCCAAGGGGGAGTGTACGCATTGTGTGAGGAGGACAGCGTGGCCTGGCCTGGCCTGGAAGTGGCACACACATTCTCTTCACTTCCGTGGGCTAGAGCCTCATCTTATGGCCTCATCTAACCATGGGGAGCTGGGAAATGTAACTATTTATCCAGGAGCTGGAGGAGATACTGAACAGCTAGCAGGTCTCCACCACAGCATCTAGTGATGACACATTTCCTGCATCATTGAAGAAAATATGGTGCTTATTAATGAGAATACCATAGAATATTTTTAAAATTCATAGACGTATAGAAATTTTCACTACCTTAATGGTATTTTAGGGATATGGAAAGGTAAATTTGCATCCATAAGTGTAGTGTCCTTTTCTTGTCTTTTAAGTACATGTGTGTTTTTAACCTTTTCTTCAATTATTTTAATTTGTAGGGCCCTTTAAAAGGACGCAGAGTGGAAGGAATTCAATATGAAGACATTTCTAAACTTGCCTGAGTTTGAAAATTTGTTAACAGCACATTAAAATCCTAAAGCATCAAATTGGTGTTCTCCAAGGCATTATGAGACTCTACTGTGTTAGGGTGTTTCTTTTGTATAAAACAAATGGATTTATTTAAATATTACTGTATAGTTGTTTAGCTAAACTTATAGAAAAATCTATGTTTCATGAAGTATCAAAACTATATAATTTTGTCCTTGTTATTTTTGTGTCCTTTATAATATTTCCTTGATGATTTTTATCTTCATTAAAAGAATGTTATTGTAAGCTGTTTTGTATAAAACAATTTAGAGGAGCCTGCCCATGGCTTAGCGGTTAAGTGCGCGCGCTTCGCTACTGGCGGCCCGGGTTCGGATCCCGGGCACGCACCGATGCACCGCTTCTCCAGCCATGCTGAGGCCGCGTCCCACATACAGCAACTAGAAGGATGTGCAACTATGACATACAACTATCCACTGGGGCTTTGGGGAAAAAAAGGAGGAGGATTGGCAGTAGATGTTAGTTCAGAGCCTGTCTTCCTCAGCAAAAAGAGGAGGATTAGCACAGATGTTAGCGCAGGGCTGATCTTCCTCACAAAAAAAAATAAAAGAGTGAATTAAAAAATAAATAAAACAATTTAGAGTCATAATGAGAGGAAATCTTTCACATACTCTAAATTTTATTTTCAGTAGTAAAGTAGTAAAGTTGAACTATAAATATAGTTAACATTTTAAAAAGTCAGACTATAAATAGAACAGCAGCTTTGAGAAATAATTCACAATTTTACCCCTTTAAAGTGTACAATTCAGTGATTTTTGGTATATTTACAGAATTGTGCAACCATCACCACTATCTAATTTTAGAACATTTTCATCATTGCAAAAAGAAGCCACGTACACATAGTCATCCCTATTCTCCCCTCTCCCCAGGCCCTGGCAACCACTAATTTACTTTCCATCTCTCTCGGATTTTCCTGTTTTGGACATTTTGTATAAATGGAATCATACAGTATGTGGTCTTTTATGACTAGCTTCTTTCACATAGCATAATGTTTTCAAGGTTTATCCATGTTGTAGCACATACCACTACTTCATTCCTTTTTATTGCTGAATAATTTTCCATTGTATGGCCATACCACATTTTTTTTATCCACTCATCAGTTGATGGACATTTGGGTTGTTTCCACTTTGGGGCTATTATGAACACTACTGCTATGAACGTTTGTGTAAGAGATTTTGTGTGAACATAAGCTTTCAATTCCTAGGAGTGGAGTCACTGAGTCATACTGTAACTCACATTATACCATATTTATCATTTTGAGGAATTGCCAAACTGTGTTCTGAAGTGGCTGCACCATGTTACATTCCCACCAGCAATGTTGGACTATTCGTTTTTAAATAAGTGGGGCAGTGTATTATTTAGGGATGTGAAAGACGGGAAACTCACCTCGTACTCTCTTATGCAAAAAAAACGAAATGTATAGTTCACATAACTGAAAAGGAGCAGAGCCTGGCTTCAGTGCAGTGGGATTCAGAATGTGAACAGCCTTGTCAGGGCTCAGGCTCTCTGTAACTCTGCCTTCTGTGTTGGTTCCATTCTCAGGCATTCTTCCAACAGCAAGATGACTGCCAACAGCTCCAGGTTTGCATCTAACTCTTCTATCACAGTTCAAACAAAACACCTGGAATTGAGTTGTTTTTTTTAATTGATGTCATAATAGTTTATAACATCGTGAGATTCCAATTGTACATTATTATTTGTCAGTTACCATATAAATGTGCCCCTTCACCCCTTGTGCCCACCCCCCCAACTCCTTTCCCCCTGGTAACCACCAAACTGTTCTCTCTGTCCGTGTGTTAGTTTATATGGAATTGAGTTTTATTGGTCCATACTCAGACAAATCACTCCAAATAAAAGGATTGGGGGGGCCGGCCCTGTGGCGTAGCAGTTAAGTGTTCACGTTCCGCTGCTGGCGGCCCGGGTTCGGATCCCGGGTGTGCACCGATGCACCACTTGTCGGGCCATGCTGTAGCGGCGTCGCATATAAAGTGGAGGAAGATGGGCACAGATGTTAGCCCAGGGCCAGTCTTCCTCAGGAAAAAGAGGAGGATTGGCATGAATGTTAGCTCAGGGCTGATCATCCTCACAAAAAAATTAAAAAAAAAAAAAAAAAGGATTGGGATATACTGATTGGCCAGACTTGGGTCGTATGGCAACCCGTGGACCATCTCTCTTGGACTTAGAGTGGGGAGAAGCAGTCAATTCTATTATTAGAAGGTGGGAGCATATATGCTGATGAACAGAAACGTAAGAGGCGGCAAAAGACATAGTCATGGGATTACGTCAGGAGCTTGACAGAAAATGTGCTTCTGGGGTGAATTAAAGTGTTTCCAAAATAACTTGACAGCATAGTAACATGGAAAGGAACTGGGTTTTGGAGTTGGGTGGATTTTAGATCGAATTTTGGCTGTTCTATTTACTAGCTATGTAATCTTAGAAAAGTGAATATTCTTGAATTTCAATGTTTATAATGTCTAAATTGTCAAAAATAATGTGTCCCAGGGGCCGGCCCAGTGGCGTAGTGGTTGAGTTCATGCACTCCACTTCAGTGACCCGGAGTTTGCAGGTTCGGATCCCGGGCATGGACCTATGCACCACTCATCAGGCCATGCTGTGGTGGTGTCCAACATACAAATTAGAGGAAGATGGGCACAGGTGTTAGCTCAGGGCTAATCTTCCTCAGCAAAAAATAATAATGTTTTCCTGTGGGGTGGTTGTGAAAACTACAGAAAATCCATATAAAGTGTCAGACATAAAGCCCAGCGTGCAGTAGGTCTTTCATGATTGGTAGTGAGTGCTAGTGCCAGTAAATGGAACCAAGCATTTGCAGCCTGACCTGGTATAAATCTGGCCTGAAGAATTTCAATAGGGAGAATAGTTCTCCCTGATAATAATGTGATGAATAAAATGTGACAAATGTCATCTGTCTCCTCAAAATCTGTAAATTTGGAATTAGAGATTTTCTTCATAGAAAAAAAATGTTTCAGGGCCGGCCTGGTGGTGTAGTGGCTAAGTTTGCACGCTCTGCTTTGGTGGCCCGGGGTTTGCAGGTTTGGATCCTGGGCATGGACCTACGCACTGCTTATCAAGCCATGCCGTGGCAGGTGTCCCACATGAAATAGAGGAGGATGGGCACAGATGTTAGCTCAGGGCTAATCTTCCTCACCAAAAAAAAAAGAAAAAAAAAATTCCATCCCGCCTCTCACATTTAATTTTTCTCCAACATCTTCCTGAAATTATCTCAGAATAAAATAGAGTAGCATTATTGAAGTTAAATTCAATGAAAAAAATCTGAAGCACAAAAAATATGATTCTAGACTCGAGAACGTTTTTTCCTGTAAGTTCTTAGAGGCCAATAGTGATTATGTTAAGCAAAGTGACCGGAGACACCTAAAATCCAGTCTTATATTGACTTCTTTTATTTTTAAAGCATCATAAGCTATTCTTTTTTAAAAAATAAACTTTATTATTTTGAGCCCTTTTAGATTCACAGCAAAATTGAGCACAGTGTACAGAGACTTCCCATATACCCCCTGTTCCCCCAACCCCCACGGCCTTCCTCACTTCCTCAACATACCCCATCAGAGTGGTACATTTGTTGCAGTTGATAAACCTACCTTGACACGTCATTATCATCCAGAGTCCATAGGTTACATTAGGGTTCACTCTTGGTGGTGTACAGTCTATAAGTTTGGACAAATTTATAATGAAATGCATTCTCCATTATATTTTACGGGGTAGTTTCACTAGCCTAAAAATCCACCTACTCATCCCTCACCCCACCGCCTCCGGCAACTACTGATCTTTTTACTTTCTGCATAGTTTTGCTTTCTCCAGAATGTCATGCAGTTGACTCATAACAGTATGGAGCCTTTTCAGACTGGCTTCTTTCACTTAACGTGCATTTAAAGCTCCTCCATGTCTTCTCATGGCTTGAAGTCTCATTTCTTTTTAGAGCTGAATAATATTCCATTGTCTGGATGGACCACAGTTTATTTATCCATCCACCTACTGAAGGATGTCTTGGTTGCTTCCAAGTTTTGTCAATTATGAATAAAGCTGCTGTAAACATCCATGTGTAGGTTTTCCTGTAGACATAAGTTTTCAACTCATTTGGGTAAATACCAAGGCGTGTGATTGCTGGATTGAATGATGAGGGTGTCTTCCAAAGCGACTGCACCATTTTGCATTCCCACCAGCAATGGATGAGAGTTCCTGCTGCTCCACAACCTCACCAGCATTTGATGTTGTCAGTGTTCTGGATTTTGGCCATCCTAATAGGTGTGTAGTGGTACCTCATTGTTGTTTTAATTTGCAATCCCTAATACATATGATGTTGAGCATCTTTTCTTGTGCTTATTTGCCATCTGTATATCTTCTTTGGTGAGATGTCATTCAAGTGTTTTGCCTATTTTTTAATCAGATTGTTCCTTTCCTTACTGTTGAGTTTGAGTTCCTTGTATATTTTGGATATCAGATATATCCAACAGGATATATCCTTTTATCAGATATATCTTTTGCAAATATTTTCTTCTATTTTGATTCAATCAGTTTGCTTCAGGTCATATCAAATTATTGGCATCGGTGTCCTGGGAAACCAAATTCCCTGAGTTTTCTTTGTTGGGAATGCCATTGGATCCCATTGCCTTATTTGCTCATTTTTCCCTGTGTACTTCTAACTGCCTATCAGTTTTTTCTGATATATTTGAGTAAATGCATTCAACAAACATTTACTGAGTGCCTCCAGTAAGTAAGCCATTGCAGTAGGTGCTGGAGATAGAAGGGTGAGAAGCAGGTACAGTGGTCCCCCCTTATCTGCGGTTTTGGTTACTCTAAGTCAACCTCAGTCCGGAAGCAGATGATCCTCCTCCTGACGTCTTGTCAGAAAGTCAGTAGTAGCCTAATGCTTCATCACAATGCCCACGTCGTTCCCCTCACTTCATCTCATCACGTGGGCATCGTATCATCTCACATCGTCACAAGAAGAAGGGTGAATATGGTACAATGAGATATTTTGAGAGAGAGACCACATTCACATAACTTTTATTACAATATATTGTTATAGTTTTTCTATTTTATTAGTTGTTAATCTCTTAATATGCCTAATTTATAAATTAAACTTTATCATAGATATGTATGTATAGGAAAAAACACAGTGTATATAGATTTTGCTACTATCTGTGGTTTCAAGCATCAACTGGGGGCCTTGGAATGTATCCTGAGGATAA